GCGGCGGCCCGGCCGCGCTGCGCTGCCGCACGTCCGCGAAACCCGCCGTTGGGCCTCGTTGTTGCCGGAGCCCGGTGGGAGGTGAGCGTGGGCTCGCCGCTGTGCCCAGGGCCTCCCCGGATCGCTTCTCCCGGCGAGTGCTGTCCCAGCGCCGGAGCGGTTCCCCTTGTCCCCAGGTAACCGGCTCTGCTCGGCTGTGGAGCCCCTCCGATTCCCCCGCTCGGGTGTTTCGTCGCCACTTCGGTTCCGAAGCGGCCGAGAGGCAGCTCCCCGGTACAGGGAGACAAAAGGCAGAAGAGTGGTTTGGTTTGGGTTTTTTTTTCTGTCGCTGTTGAGGGTCTCCTGTCAAGTTGTGCGAATGCCGCACTTCCTTCTTTTTCACTGTCCTGGCAGAATTGTGGCCCTGCAGTACAGAGGCCTCTGGGGCAGAAAACTTGGAACTACAGAAATATTCGTACATTTTTTTCCCTAGACCCGTTTAACTGTAAAACCTCTAAGGTTGAAGTGACATCTCAGCAGAAGTAATGCAGTTTGTTTTGATGCTAGCAGGGCACAAAACAACTTACTGGCAGCTTTCACTTTGAAGAACATTGTAGTGTCCTTACGGAACAAGCGAGGGGGTGAGAACTCTCCTCTTACGCATGAAAGTGCGTATACTTGTGGCTTCTACACTCGACTGTGATTTGCATGTCAAACTCGGTCAGCTGTACGCTTTGGAAGCCTTCAGCGAGGTTTGGAGCTTGCTGCTTTGTACATACACACTTGGTGCAACTGTTGAAAGGACTGGAGCGCTGCCCGTATGCTCAGGCTGCCCGACTGGGAGCACACAACGAGGAGGGAGAGGGTGTAAGAGCCTTTATCTGGCAGCTGTCCTTTCCATCTCCCCCTTCCCCCAGCAACGTCAGCCTTCTGTTCTGTAAGAAGTGCTGGAAAGTGCTGAGCGTTTGTACGGTAACAAAATCTTCAGGAAAGTAAATGCATTTTTTCAGGGAAAATATGCCAAGTTTAGTCCTAGAAAAAAATCCACACAGCAGAATCATAAATAAATGTATTATCTTGCTAGATAACTTATTTTTTATTTCTAACTCCATTCCCGGTGCAAGTCAGAATGCATACTGCTTCACGCACACATCCAGCTTTGCACCTTTCCTGTCTTCTGAAGTTAAGACGAGAGGATGGAAGAACAAGTAGGACACCCTAAATACCTGATACAAAGTTAAGCTTCTTCAAGCATGCAAAAGCCACCTTTTTTAACTCCGTTTTTTTAAGCTGAGGCTAAAATCCTTATTTGGTTTCATCTTTTCTGGGTATCTGTCAAATTTGGCATGTATACAGGTAGAATTAAAAGGAAGTCCCTGTGTCCATTCCAGACGAAAGAACACCTGCCTGATTAATTTCTCTTTAACTTCTTGAAGAAATTCAAGCTGTGAAGCTTGAAGAAGTTCAATCCTACAGAGCTCTGAATCTTAGCAATAGTTTTTGTTGTTATTAAAAAAGAAGGAAGGTTAATTAACATAATTGAAGTTGCTTAACTTTGTATGGACCAGAGGGGATTTATAAAAATTACCAAATGAAAAAAAAATTTCGATCCCTTCCAAGAATGGAATATACTAAAATCTGAATTGTGTTTTGTATTCACAGGGTAGTGCACGGTACGCAGGAAGAGTCTGAATATAACTTAAGACCATGGCAGCACGCTGGAGAAGAATCCTGGTAATATTTGTGGCAGCTCAAGTACTATTTGTGGTAAATACCTTTGAGGAAGAGGATGTACCTGAGGAATGGATTCTTCTTCATGTTGTTCAAGGCCAGATTGGAGCAGGAAACTACAGCTATTTGAGACTAAACCACGAGGGAAAGATTGTACTTCAGATGCGGAGTTTAAAAGGTGATGCGGACTTGTATGTATCCGATCTGACGCTTCACCCCAGCTTTGACGAATACGAGTTACAGTCCGTAACTTGCGGCCAAGACATTGTCCACGTACCTGCGCACTTCCGCCGCCCAGTGGGAATCGGGATTTACGGTCACCCCTCTCACCTGGAGAGTGAGTTTGAAATGAAAGTATACTACGACCGAACAGTTGTACAGTATCCATTTGGTGAGGCTTCTTACAACCCTGAGGAGGTGGAGGCAAGCCAGAAATACTCACAGTCTACAGAAGATGAACCTCAGGATGAGGAGTCTGTTTTCTGGACTATACTTATTGGAATCTTGAAATTAATACTTGAAATTCTTTTTTAAATTGATAGACACTGGACTAAGTCACACTTCAGCCTGTGAAATTGAAATGAATGACTTGCTGTAATATTTAATACTTTGTTACGTTTCCTGAAGAGGTATTCAGGTTACTTTTCCTAAACCAGAAAGGAAGTGGGGGGAAAAAAGCCATATTTAATTTTATATTGTAAATCCTCCCCCATACGTAAAATGTGCAGCAAGCACAGCATTTGCGGTGTTCCTCAGAGATCAGGGCTCAAAAACAAATGTATGGTGGTTGGGATCTTGTTAAATTCACTTTAAACAGGTGCTTAGGAAAATCAGCTCCAATCCCGTATTTTCCTATTCTTTTTTTATAAAGAAAAGTGAAATAAACTGCTGCACTTCAGTGCGCCCCCTCTCAGTTTAGAGCATATTTAAAAATAAAACCTACTACTTTTCTGAGCAAGTATCTCTAGGAAAACTAATTAGCAACGGGTTTTGAGCATATTCAAGTTGAGGAGCCTAAGGTGAAGGAAGAAAAAAACCCCAGTCAGTCACCGAAGGGGATAGGTCATGGGCATCGTGACTGCATGTGCTCTACATCACATGAGCTGTCTGTCGGGCAGGGGTCTGTCCTGTCACTTGTCACCTCTGCAAATCCATGACCTGAACCAAGCGCATGTCAGTTCTTCCCTGTTACCGCAGGGAGAGTAAGCCTCCAGCTGTTGTTACTTGTCAATATCACCTTTTCATTCCTCCTTAAAAGCAACGCAGCATGTAGTATCTTGAACTCAAGAGGTTTTTTCTTACACCTCCCTTTATAGCTTTTTGTGATTGACTTATTCATAAAGATGATGACAAAAAAAAATCATCAGCTTGCAAAGAAAATTTCTGCTGAAAGGAATCTGCAGTACATTGTAAGAAGGTCAGGTCGTGCCTACTCTTCCTTCAAAGTTATTTTTTTCCAGCAGTATTTTTTGCTTTGGTTGAGTCTTTCAAAATAACCAGTTGCTATGCAAACAGTGAATATTTAAACTGCTCTGTAATTTTCTTTTCACAGAGCTTACTGATGAGTGCATTGAGATAAACAAGTACGTTACTACAATTTTAAAGAAACAGTGCATGTACCATTTAAATTTCACTACTGAAAGCCTCCCTTTGAGTGGGAATTTGGCTTGTCTATCTCATCTAGACATCTGACAGGACATGATTAGTGACTTGTATCACAAAAAAAATCATTATATAGCCAAAATTATAAGTTTATTTGGTAAAAAGAAAAAAAAAGTGGTATTGTTCCTCTTAAGAGTGGTTGGTTAAATAGCACCAAAGTATCACTTTAATTTGTGCAGTTAAGTTTTGGACAGCAAGTTTTGGGAGGGGGTTTAGCCCTCCTTGCTGTTTTTCCCCCTTCTTCCTCCTCTTCTGGGTACGGGAGGGTCTTTCTGACAACAATCACAAATCCAGCGACCTAAGAAAAGAAAGTTATCAATTATTGGGAAACTAACGTTGTTACTCACTCACCCAGTTACGCACCTTTCGCCATTCTAATGGGTGCTCACCTACTCGCAGTACTTCCTTTAATGTAAACAACCAGTGCTTTTCTCTAAAATGTAAGCATCTTTTCTAAAAGGTATAGAAGGCAGCAGGTAAAACTCCCCCTCCCTTGCGGACTCATGACATGTAACAGCTGGCTACACCGATCCTTCTGGACCTTGGGAAGTGCCAGCCGTGCTGAGGAAGTGGTCATTAGGGAAGAACTTGACAAATGATGCTTGAGTGTGACCACAGCTGGAGGTTACGGGCAGTTAACTCAGAGCAGAAATGAACGTTGTTCTCCTGCCACAGGTACGGGGTCCCTCCCGTTCCCCCAGCCAGCATCGGTTATTTCAGCAGATGAAACTGCTGGCAAGGGCTCATCACCAGACCCTGTACTAAAACTCATTAGCTGAGGGAACAATAAAGGGCTGAGCAAAGAGCAGAAGTGTTTAAATGTTTGTATTGCAACAGCTGGAATCATAAAGGCTGCCTTGGTAATTTTATAGTTTTGCAGGCATTTAATCTATTTTGTTTAGATTCTGTCCTTAGGTCAGCCTGGAAGTTAAAGCAGCCACAGAACTGTACCGAAGTGACAGCTAGCGCCAGTGCTTCCCAAAACGGGAGCATGCAGCATGTTTGAAGTACCGCAGTTACGGGGAATGCTGTCCCTGCAGAATTCGCAGCCACTGAGTACTTTACTTACTCATGAACTTACTTACCTGGGGTTCAGTATTACATGAAAAGCAACAAAATACTACAAGTTAGATTTTCTTTACACTGCTTTGCGCTGGCCAGGTGGTAACAACTGACCAGGGAATTTAAAGGTACAGGCTGCCTGACATCAAGGTACTTCACTTCCAGCTTTGGTGTTTTAAGAAAAAAAAATGGGAAGGAAGGGGTTTAAAAAGGTGTTTACAAATATTGAATTGAGCGCACTTTTTATCTGGAAACTGAAATAATAGCACAAACAATTAATGTGAAAGCTATACTCCAGCAATATGCAGCAATACAGCCTCTTTACAGGTTTCTTTTATGAAAAGAGGTCATTATTCTCAGTATTCTGTGGATATGGAAAAAAACCAACAAACAAACTAGTTCTGAGTGAGTCTGTTGTAAAAGCCAACTCTATTTCCTACACAGGAATTGCCAGGTTAAACTGTGCACAACCAAATATACAGAAATAAAGCTTCTTAAAAAAGTTGAGTCCTATGGTGTGAGTGCTTTCCTGTAGTATTTCTTACTCCTACCCTTCACACTCATTTTAACCTATTCTTTAAAAAGCAACGCCTGTATTAATTCCGACAGAGAAAGCCCAGGACTCAGAGGAGGTGGGAAGAGAACAATTAATTCTTACTTTATTACCTGAAGGGATAGCGTCAAGCCCCACACAAAATGTGTGATAACCACGGTCACATACGTCACAGAACATCATTTCTTCTTCATGGTGAGGCTGCCCGCATATAATGCATGTTTTACACTCCATACATTGCCAAGGGTAAGTCTTAATCATAGCAACAAGCTCCGGGGTCATATCAAGGCAAGAAGGATGGCCTAGATTAAAACCAATATTATTACTTTTAGGTCTGAAATGAAATTTAAAGCCAGTTAGACTGCTTGCTTGTACAGAAGTTGAAGCTTAGCTCGCCTCCTGGCGAGATCCTGCAGTGCGCTGAGTGCGCTAGGACACGTCGCATTACACAGAGATGGAGCCATAAGGAAGGACAGGAAAGGCAGCGGAACTGCCGGCACACGAGTGTAGTACACTAAGTATTTCCACAAAAAGATCTGCCAAACCAACTCCCTTAGGAATCCGCTTAGTGTATGCAGATACTTACCACTGTTGTCACACTGGGAGCAATGTATAAGAGCTTCAGCTTTTCCTTTCTTGTTGGACTCCTTACCCTTCAGACAAATTCCACATATAGCATTTGGAATGACCTTTGGCTGGAAGGGTAGAAGAGGGCTATAAATTCATTCCGGAAGAATTTACAGGTTTAAAAGGAAATGTCATATATCTCCTTAACTCTTAAAATTAATGACCTATCTGTTAGGATGTGTGAACCTTAAAACATACGACAATAACTGACAAGCAGCAGCACTGAAAAAAATCGTCGATTAACTTTATAGAATTTTGCATTTGGCACACGTAGCGAGTTATATGCAAATCAAATTGGAGCAAAAAGCATGTACTTGCTTCTTCCTATGAGTTCATCAGCTAACATTCCCCTCAATGCAAGTTAAATGTGACACAGCATTAAACACTTCAGTGTTTTTTTCCAATATAGAATACTTCTTTATGAATCTCCATGCAGATTTCCTATTTACAGAAGATTTTAAATACCATTTTCCATTTGCGTGACACTTGTCCCTAAGTATAGAAAATCAATTACATAAGCAATAAACTTGATTTTTATGTCTTTAGTTCCAAAATACCTGGTCAGCTATGCTGTATGTGGCTGTTTACTGTCCTTTCTTGCATCCAGTCATAATCACTGTAAGAAATACACACCCTCGCATTTAACTACAGTTTTACATTCACTGTCTTTCTATGTGATGATCTGGGGTGTATTTGGGTCCGCGAGATCCGTTTAAAAGGCAAGAGAGAAACAGCAGGCTGTTGCAATGAGTAACATTTGTGTGTGCATTCTGTGCCCCGAGCCAAGAGATACACCAATGGCGTTGTATCCCGATGAGGACCGAAGTAAGGCATTAGGAATTTCAGAAACATTTCAGTAGTTATATTGCTGAGCTTTGACCACTGCATAATTAAATTAGTGAGAAATGCGGTTTAAAATTCATGTAGTACTCACTGATGTTAAATCGACTAGTGCTGGAGTTTTAAAAAAAACGTTGCCGCAAAGACACAGCTAGTAGAGGGAGCTGAAGGCATACCCTGCTTTCTAAGGAACCATGCGGCTTGTCAGTAAGCAAGAAGAGTTCCAGTCAACTACCAACCACATGTGCGGCGAAGAATGCAGTTTAATTTTAAAACAAATTAAAAAAGTGAAAACAGAACTATATGTGTGTGTATATATAAACATAAAAAAAAATTCACCAAGATCTTTTGCAATGCGACTTCTCTTTAAGTGTGTCTACTTCCCCAGCCAGTTTCTTCTAGCACCTAGCAAGATAACGAGTATCTTAACTCATTTTTAGAGCAGTCAGGGTGCATTGCTTTAAGTTTTCTGAAGTTTTCATCTGCTTTTTAAGTTAAACATGGCTACAGTCTGCTTCAAATTGTCTAGTCTAAAGAGTTTCATTTAAGAAAACAAAACACCATACCAGATGTTTATAGGCAACTTCCTTCAAAAGATGACAGAGGCATTCATACAGACTTTTTTTTCTTATTTATTTTAAAAAAGCAGAGTCAACCTGTTTTATACATAAATATAATAAAACAATAGAAGAAGTCTAACATTCACAAACGTTTCTACAAAATAATAAATATAATGGAAGCAAAACCACACATAAACTCTTTTACTGTTACCTATGCTACGTGTCCTACATGTATACCTTTATACCCTGCTCCTCCCAACAAAAGTGGCACATGCTTAAACCTCATCAGCGTTACAGCATTTACCCTTCCGTTGTTTAGGCTACATTCTAATTTTTTTTTTATTGTGTTTTTATCTATTTCTACATAAACCAAGCCTTTCTAGAATAGCAAGTGCACTTTTCTAATCAGACTTCTAGTTTGTTATGGATTTGTGTATTACTGCCTTTACTGTACAGCAGCATACTCCCCGGTACTCCAGCAAAACAAAAGTAAGCTGCTTTTCGGTCACTGTACCTGCCTTAGGGTATGCGCAGTTAACACTCCGATACACGTAACTCTAAAGTTAGACACCGATAGAGATGCATTTATTAGCAATGCTTCCATCTAGTCTTACTTCACTAAAGTGTGTTCATTAGAAATCGTGCGTGTTGGGCGGGGGGGCAGGGGTAGGTGAGAATCACAGCCTATTAGTAATAAAAGTTCCAATAGTATGGAAGTATTTTTACAAAAATGGGAAAAAAAACCAACCAAAAAGCAAGACTATTCACATTTCAAATCAGTTCAAGTTCTACCACCATAAAAGGCTTTTAGAAACACTATGAAAAAAAGTCTATCAAATCCAAATGGGAAGTCACAGTATCCCACCCGATTAGAGTAAATTTTGCTTTCTATGTCCTCGTCTGACTGGGATGAGGAAGGGAGAGAAAATGAATGCAGGGTCAAAATGACGACTGCCTGCTCTGTAAGTTTTCACTTCCATGCTGCTGTGCTACAGCTCTCAAAGTAAGCGTTCCAACTCCACCACTTTGATAAGGTTCTGTTCTGAATGCAAAGTGTTCCATTTTCATATACAGTGACCCAAAACAGAAGTGTTGTAAAATATAGTTTCTCAATACATTTCAGTTTTATGTGCAAAAAATCTCCTGTACTTTTAACAGTACCCTGTGTGTGCAATTGTAGTAGCCAGTCCTGCAGCAACAAAGACTCGCCACCTGTAACATGACAAAATGTAAAACACACGCTAATCGTTCTTTGTTAAAGAACTGACAATAAAAATGGCTCCATATAAAATACATTATTTTCTTTGCTCAAAAATAAATCAGTGGAAATGTGTGAATCCTGTAATACTCATAATGTGGCTGTAACTATACATTTGCATGTTGATGCCGTAGCAATTATCCTTCAATTTTAACTACGTGTAACCAAAAGACTACTGTCCTACAAAAATAGTCAAATATTAGAGAACAATACAGAACAAAAGTATTACAAAGATTTAGAATTCACAGGGACAACATTTTAAATCAGTTAAGCCTTCAGCTCAAAGTGCCTTAACATTTAGGCACGTACGGTAGGTATATCATTATCTGGTGTTTTTACACACTAACTAACAAGAATCTTTCTGTCTTACCAGTTGAAACAGCTCATGTAATTGGGCTTACTGAAAGCGCTTAAATGTTTCCACAAACAAGAAAGCCAATCCTCTCACCATCCCAACACACCACCACCACCTCTGGCTTATCAACGGCCTGACAGCTGATGCAGGCAGGGTACGCTGACCTTGCAAAGACGTGGCACAGTAAGTTTATAGTAAGACCTTGTTACTAACGCAGTCAGTGATTTTGAACCAGTAAGTAATTGCTATGGTAATCCATTTTCAAAATGGAATGCTGTATACTACCATTACTCTTCTACAACTGGAAGTTCAGAAACTTGCAGAAAGTTCTGCGCCATCAATTCTTTCTCTATGCGTTCATAAGGCCGTTACATAGATCGGACTAATCAAACACTCAGGCTTCTCACAGCTCAGTGAAACTTCTGTAAACCAGTGGCACACAATCTCTAATGCCAAATTAAACAAAGCTAAAAACCCCAAATGTCAACTCCATCTTTGGATTTCACGTTCATGGGAATATTGGTATGCATTCTGTGTCTACAACAATTTGCAAAGTTACATATAAAAAAATATACATATGGTACCACAGTCTAAATCTCCACAGTTTGCATATTTCTTAGAAAGTTCCTGAAAAGAGAAAACGCAACTGGAGCTTGCTATCTGTTACGAACTTACGCAGATGCTGTATGTAGAGAAAATTTATCAAAGCTGTCCAATTCTGGCTGGAAATTAGCTTTTTAACGTAAGTTATAGTTTACTTACTACTAAGTTGGTAAATACAGATAGTAAATATTTATGAATATAAAATGCAAGCCATCAACAGCTCACTTTTGTGCCCAGACAGTTTCTCAATATGTACAATCTTGTCACTGACAAAAGTGCTCCTTCTTCCATAACCTCTCTTAACAAGCGTTCCTGATTGCTAAATACTAAACCCTATCTTAATGTAGTGTTTTGCCTCTTCATGGGTCTATTCCTGCTCCCACGTAAGTCAATGGAAAATTCTCATTCCTTCCAGTGGAACAGGACTAGGCGATAATGTGTTTTAAAAGTGTTACATCATATTCAAATCCTCTATTAGTATGCAGAATAATAACACATACATAATGCATGTCAATTCCCATTTCTTCTGCAAAGTATTCTTATCTTAATTTTTGAAATGATTATACAGTAATACTGAAGATTTGGGTCTTAGGTTTGGCAATCACTGCTTGACAGCTGAAATGTCTTAACATCTTCACCAAATTTTTAGCCTGGATAAAAGCATATTGCCCACAAACATTTCTACATAGTGTGAACTACATAAAAAGCTATTTTCCATATACTGTTAAAGTGGTTACGTAGTGTTGCCTATACAACTGTAGTAAGCTTCTTGCCTTCCATTCTACACACCGTAACATCTCAGGATGAAAGGCTGTATTTAAAATGAACGTCATTAACAATATGTTCAGCCACATAGCTGCACTTACAGCACTGATCTCTTGGTATGCTGCCATACTAAATAGTAGAAAAAAAAAAAGGATACTGAATGCTAGTTTTGAACTGGCAAGTAATTCTGACTGCTATGTTAAGGCAGACAGAAAGATGTAGAGTTCCAATGAGAAATCCACAGTGGATTTTTCTGGTGTTACTGCCTGGGAATCTGAGAAGTTAACAGAAACAGAGGCCACTGTATAGCCAGAGTAAAGGAAAGCCCCACAGGAAATAAAAGCAAAAAGTAAGTAAGGAAACAAACAGATGGAGCACACAACAGGAGAGCAGCTAGTGAAGTACAGCAAGCAGAAGTTCCATATTATTGAAAAAACCCAAATATTTCAGGGAGAGGCTGGTCAGTAAAGAAGTTCAGTCAGGGGCTTTTTTCTTCTACCTTGTACCCAGGAACTGACTTGGATAATACAGAACGTTTGGAACCATCTTTTCTTGGAGTAGCACTTTTGTCTCTTGTTTTTTGTCTTCCCTGAAAAGAATCCTCCTGGTTGTCTGTGGCGCAATCACCTTCAGATACATTGCCAGACGAATTGTCCTATAATAAAAATACCATAGCTATATTTTTTATTTTTTGGATAGACAGACAAGTCTTTCCTATGACTCTTAGAGCCAACTAAGGTAAGAGAAGGATGTATTTCCTTCTGCAAAAGCATGGGGTACATCACAATCTAGAACACCTTTGCTCATAACCTTCATTATCTTTTTTTTTTCTCATGCTAAGAGACTGGCATCAGCAATAGCAGTCATGTTTTCCAGTTGGTCTTGATATCAGAGTGGGGAGCACAACAGTGTAATTCTTTGAACCGTTTTCCTTTAAAAGTCAACAAGAAATCCTCTAAATGCAAGATGTTGTTTACAAAGTAAAGGGCCAGCAAAAAGTTAAAAGTGCCCTTGCCATGCATTTAAAGTGTACTACCAAATAGCACTGCCATGAATTAAACCCATGAAGGTTTTTTCTGCCACCCTCATCTACTATTTTCACCAGGAGCAATCTAAATACTTAATTTGGATTGCAGCAGAAGAATGCCATCAAAGGCCAAACACACTTCAATATTTAATACAGAACTAAACAACAGAATTTATGCTGCAGTTAAAGCTTTTTTTTTTGGGGGGGGGGGGGGAGGAATGAGGAGGCAAGAAAGAGGGGAAGAGGTTCAAAGAGGGTGCGAGATCAATGTAAGCATAATTAAGAGCAGCAGCACAAGATTTTTCTCAGAAAAGTGTTAATAAAGGCCTCCAAAAAGTCCCAGAAGAAAGCAATATGATTAATCACATTCATTACAATAAAAACCAAAAGGCCAAATAACAATGGTGCCCTACAGCAAAAGGCACTCTGTACAAACTTAATAGTAATCAGCCTATACCCCAGAGCCTAAAATCAAAACAGACAAAACAGACACAGGGCAAAGGGAGGAGTACAACACAAAAGCAAAGCAAACTACGTGGCAACAAGAAATGGTATGTTTCGCCATCATTTTCAGGGAAGGGTTATTTAGGACAGGCCCATTAAAACCCTACAGAAGAGGAAAATTGCTACCCGACTTCAACAATGGGGCAGGTGAAAAAGGAAAAAGCATAAAGCTTATTGTAGGACTCACCGGGGAGGATCCAATGAATGGCAGGTAGCCCAAAACTCACAACGAGGCCTGCCAACTGCTCACCTTTGTGGTCAACAGATCTTTTTCCCGAACAATGTGCCCCAATGACTAGCAGAGAAGCCGTGCTCCCATAGCCAAACCCACTTCACAGGAATCTCATTTTAAATTTTCCCTACACTTTTCCAACACAAGGACATTTTCCTTTCTGCATTCTGTAACCAGAAAGACTTCTGACCTTCTGTGAAAAATGAAAGGATAGTCTGCTCGGTCCAGTTATTTTTCTTTAACATTAAGGGGAATGGAAGTCAGTGGAAAAGGGAACTGGGAAGAAATGGTTAAAGACCAACTGTAAAAAAGCTGTAGTGTGATTAAACCAAAATTTTCAGTTGACATTTAGCATGCTAAGTTTATAGGATTGCTTTTTCTCCAAAAAACGCAAGCAGAAAGGGTACATTAACAGCTTTCTCTCCCTTGTTAGCCTACAAGCTGACCGTTTCCTTCCTTCTTCAGCTATGAGTATCTTATGAATATTCAAACAAAATAAATGTTTATATGGCAAAATTTAGCATTATATATACCCACTGTCTAACATGTTCGTCAATTTAACTAGAAACTGTTAAATGCACCTGTGATTTTACAGTCTATTTCTCTTAAAATTAGGGTTAAGCTTCCGGAAAGTGGTTGTCACCAACATACCAATGGTTCAGTTGTACTCAAGACAGCTCACCTGAAGCTCAGCTGTTCTCGAGCACTTAAAACACTATCAAGGTAGGTATGTGAAAGTTTCCCTTAACTTCCAGTAACAGTTAATTTTGCATTTGCATAAAAAGAGAGAAGATACACATCTTTTTAAAGATGTATTGTGCAGCAAAAACCCCAGTACTTTTTACCTCCTCTTTAAATTGGAATAAAGTAACTGTTTCTGTCTTGAGTGTTTCCTGCTTCTATGTCACAAGAAGAAAAAGTTACCAGGCTATCAACACCTTTGCTTTAGTGACAGATTCTGTGGGACTTAAATAGCAAAACACACTGTGACCTGAACTGCAGTGTTCATTGCCCTCAGACGTGCTAGCAACTTCCCCTTGGGCAAAAGGGCATAATGAAGAGCTGCGGCTGGGAAGATTCTTCAAGATCTCTTTACAAAGAAGCAAGAAAGGGCCTGAAATTTCAAATGTTTGATTTACTTTAAAAATGGATCAAAACAGAAAGCTGGAAAGCAATGTTATAAAATAAAGAGAAGTACCAAAAAAGGGACCACACTTCTTCCTTCATCTTGCAAATGTTAAAAGATTCTACTAAGAAACTACTGAAACTAACAAAAGTGAAGGGAAAGGGATTTTTTGTTGAAGAATACTTTCAATTTGTCTCACCGAATTGCCTTTGGTTTTCCTTTTTTCATCACCTCGCCCTTCCTCTGCATCATCTGAATCTCCATCACTGTCTAGCGCAGGCAGCTCTGGATCCAAAGGAGGTTCGTAAAGAGCTGTGTTCAATGGCAAGTAACGAAGTTCATCTGGAGAGTATCTAAAGTTAAAAAAATAAATAAGTAAAATTAATTCATGTGTACTTTATGCATAAATATTAAGTCACACAGCATACAAGGACTTGAATGAGAAAGAGTAAGAAAATCTCCCTTTTTTCAGGAAGGCACATAAAAACGTGTGGTTCTGAAAACACAGGAAACATACTAATTTCTCCTCCCAAATGCGATACCATCTAGTACTTGTCATCTTTGTGTAGCAGATACTCGTGGAACACAGGAAGAGTATATGTGCAATGTTCCAAACCTACACAAACCTAAGAGGCCACGGAACCCCTAAAAATTTTTAACCAATCCACGTTACTACACCCAACAGACTATACACTTTGTTTATAAACATACAGTGCCCACATAGCATGCGCACAACAATTCTAACCCAGGGCACACAAATAGCTAGGGTCCAAAGCAAAGTAAGTAAAGGCTGTAGCTCTATGTCTAAGTTCCCTGATTATTGAAGGAGAACAAAAAGTGCATATAAAAATATGATTGCAGAAGAATGTGAAGATCTTATCACACTGCTTATAGTCAGATACAGCTTAACATGCGTAATCTAAACTTCTTTTTTTTAACCTTAAATACCAAGAAAAAAGGGAAAGTCCTCTTACTGTTAAGGATAAGTGTTGTAAGGAATAGGGTATTTTGATTCATATTTTGAAAGGTTGTGTCCTTTGTTAAGAAGGATAAGCAGTTTCGCTTGCAGCTTACAGGTGCAAAATAAACAAGATACCTAGTATTTTTAATTCAGTTAATTTAATAAAACTGAAGTCCTTAAAGAATGTCCTGTAACATGCAAATTTGGGGTGGGCTGTATGCACACACACACTGGAATGAGCAAGGCATATGCAGATAAAGAGCTTCTCTAAAGAAAACCGTGCATGCATCGGATGAGTACCATCTCTGTTGTATAGATAGTAAAACTTAGGCAACAATTTTCAAATTAGTATGTATTTGTCAAATGGGAGCATGCCACTGGTAAAGTCTTAAGTTTCTGTAGACAGTCAAGTACACATTTTTCATGAAATATAAAGATTCAGCTAGCAAAACCTTTCTCTCTCACTTAGAAATCCAACATTAAACTTAGCCTGCAAGACCAATCCCACTTTTTTTTCAATTAAAAACTTTCTAAAAATTTAATAAGCCTGTCACACAGAGAACATGGGATCGCAAGCCAGCATTACAGCTTTTTGATATAGCAACATTAATTTTAGCACACACACAGAGGCAGATGATAAGTAAACACATAAGGGTGGCAGGAGTGAAATCAATGTCTCCTTTTAACACAGTAAATACCTGAGCAGGCCAGGTTTCAGGCACTGCAACACCTCAGCGGAGACAGTACTCTTGCAGCCAGTACTGTTTTGTTGACAAAAGCTGTCACGCTATGCGTCTATTAGACTAGCAAGTGTCTCAAACATAAAATTAATTCAAAACCTTACAGTAAATACACTGAAATGTTTTCCATCTGCTAGATGTAGAGAAAATAGATCAGTGCAGCAGAATCAGCGGTTAGGGTGCATTTACAATACCTTTTGTAGTACTCCTGGAACTGGCCGGGTATGAGAGCCACTGGGTAAGGACTAACCTTTGTTCTCTCTGTAGGTAAGATTTTGTATTTTCCTTGAGGCACCTGGATAATCTGTATTGTTTAATACAAAACAATGACGTTTTTGTTTCACATACAGACTTTTGAGGCTTCCTGACCAGCTACCCCCCCAATTATTTTTTAACTAGCCAGTTTTATTGAGTTGGAACAGCTACCTGAGGTCTCCCATGGGAAATCCAATTCATTAAAACAGTAAGAGATCCCACTCACAAAACAGTATTACGGATGAAGGCCAATCGCTAAGTATCTAGTGAACTGAACAAATATTAGGTAAGACTACTCCTAACAGTATATTATGTAAAATAATTTAACAAACTAAAACCTAACAATTGAAACAGTAAAAATTAACTTTTGTGACTGGCATCTTTAGCATGAATTATCATTGTTGGTCCATATTGGTAGAGGACAGCAAGAACATGTCCATCTAATTCTGAAACCAGACTGTACCATAAAAAAATCCCATTAATAATACGAATATATGGAAAGGAGAAGCTTACACAGAAGCCTTCTTTCCCTTAGAAAGAAATAAAACTATTTATGCACTATCTCATTTCCAACATGGGTCAATACCAGAAAAATGTAAACTTTCTGTAAGACTCCCATGTAACAATTTGTGTAGAGAAAACTTTTGGTTTACTGTCTTTACACAAGCAGAACAGTCCTGCTTCAAAGTAACAGCTATTTTTTTTTTTTTTTTAAATCAGGCACAGAAGCATGAAATACATCTAATAAAAAAATAGTATATAACACCTAACAAAAACAAGGGTATAACATTGACAGGTAGCGCTCTTTTAGAGGATAGATAGTGTACTTTTTTACTCTAGGTATTGTTCAGGCAAAATTCTGGAGGTTTTCCAAAAAAGAATTAGCCATTTATATGAATAGATACAATAGCAACAGAAGCTTCTTAGTAACCTAAACATCCCTCTTAGTTTCATGCTACTACCAGTAGATTAAAGGCATGACAACAAAGTAACACTGAAATTTTTAAAGCTTCCAAGACAAGTATTGTCAAGTTAAAAAAACCAGAAGTTTTCACATTAAATATATTTGAGATTATTATTTTTAGCAGTATTACTCATTTCATAGAAAAACTGCTAAAGTCCCTACACGACTGAAACAAGACTAATCAAAACCCTTGATAATAAAATAGTTTAAATGGTACCAAAACCAGCTTTACTAAAACAAGCAAGGAGCTACGTATTGACATTGATAAGAAATTTAAATCTGCCTACATGTGTCTGTAAATCAAAATAGGCTCTTCTTTCTTCCATCCGCTCTCGGTTTAAATTGCTGTTGAATTCTGCAGCTTTCTTGGCAGCTTTTTTAATATATTCTGGAACTTTACTGGCTTCTACTTTCTGTGTGTTCTGCTGCTGCATTTGCTGGAATAAAAGCAATTTTATTAATTAACATACATTTCACTATCAGTCTGAAAACAGCCTTTTCTTATACTACACAGGTTACAGCTCTGGTTCAGTTATATGATAGTTACTTACAGAGTACTCTTTATAATGATCTGTTATTCGCTGACGTTCTTTCTCTTGCAGTATAACAGAATACTCAGCATGTTTGGCAGGGTATTCTTTAATCATAAGATCAATTACTTCATCACTACGCAAAGCTGTTAGACCTAAAATAGATAAAAGCAATAATGATGCTATCTGGCAAAACTCACTATAGGTTATTTATATCCCACAATGATCAACTCAAGTTTTTGAGCAGCTGAGACAACAACCTGCTGCGCACAATGCTTCTCTCTCTCTCTCAAGTAGGAGCAAACTTGTGCCGTTTAGCTTTCAAGGGTGATCAGGAGTTTGCTTCTACCCAAGGAGCCAAGGCTCATTTCTTTTCTTCCTTACAGCTGCAGACTCCTTCACAGTGACTCAGCCACCTACTAACCTCTGCTGTGAGACAGAATCTTTGCTCTAAGTGGGACCTGGTGAACTGTTAGTTTTGGTTTCCAATACTGGTGAGGTGTCAGTTTCATTAACTTGCAGAACCTTAACTGAAATGATGAAGTTTACATAACCTCTCTATACAAGTCAAGGAAGAAGCACTGCGAGGGCAATTCAGAGCAGCAAACTGCACGCTGACTCCTGACTCCCCATTAAAAGCATTTGAAGTTCAGAAGTCAGAATGCCTCAGTTTGCAGCTAGAATGCAGAACTCCTCCTTTAAAGGTTCCAACACAGCTAATCTCCAAACATTGACAATGGAACAGAGGATGACATATGTTACTCCCACTGATTATAAATATAACCTGAAAATAATAAGGATAGTTAACTCGGCACACATCTCGACTTGATATATCGAGGCAGAATATAGCGTTTTGCTTCTATTGATAAAAACCAGATCTGTTCTCCCCTGCATACTTAAGTTTAAAAAAAAACAAAACAAAAAACCAAGAGAGCCGGCAGGTGAGAAATAAAGGTGGTATACCAAATATCATTAGTATATAAAATGACATTCCATTGGCACAGAGCCATGATACACAGAAAAAAATGCGACAGGCATCATTTAATCTCTAACATGCTCTGAGACACATGTATTAGCAGAGGAAGAAAAAAAGCACTTCAAGCTCTTTGAATATAAGCCGCATCAATGACATCATTCCATTTCAAGTACATTAATGCGCTTTAATACACACGCCTGTAAAACTAACATCTAAGCTGAACCGTGTAAGATACACCAATGTTTACTGAGTTCCAGCTAACTCAGCAAAACAAGACTGACATACTTCTTAATTTGAAAAATTATGGTGTTCTCTTTCCTAGAGGGAGAAAAAGTTTCTCAAAGTTAATTTACAGCATAGAAGGGATTTTGCTAAGCAATTAGAATAGATCCAAAATTTATTTTTTTTGTATACTACATCTGGAATACTGATACTTCATGGCCAATTTACACAAATTAATAAATCAGTTTTCATTTCAGAATTTACATTTTCAGATGAGAATGATGCAACTCTTCTCTACCAAACTGAATCACATTTTCAGTGTGTCATACTTTTAATACTGTAACAAGGAATCTAACAATTTGTTCTCTTACCTAGTGTGCACTGAGTCTCTGTGATAACATTTAGTTCTCTGAGGTAGAGCTTCTCCTTGTGAGATAGATCTCGTCTTTCTAAATCTCCAAAGAAAACAAAAAAGAGCAATAAAATTGTGTGCAGTTACTCAGACTCCCCCATAAACAGAGTCAAAGTATTTTGACAATTTTATTTCCAGGCAGTGAGAGTCTATATTATACTACCATTCGTACAAACACGATAATTTTATAAGTTAACTTTAAATTTAATATCTGCCATAGGGACATGGTCAATTTTTCTGAGTACCCTGCCTGTAGTTACAATTTACAGAAATACTGAGGAAACCTAACATATGAGCTTGGACGCAGACAACACTATCAAGCACTGAAGATGCATTCTTTTTTCCTTTCAATATGCCTTTTAAAAGTAAATTCCATGACTGAAGAACCAGACTTTACAAAATTACTTTGAAAACCACAGGATACATTTTTCAATATGCCAGTAACAAAAATAAAAAGTACAACATACATAATTCAGGTCTGCTTCTGCCAGGGTCTTTTTTTAATCAGTTGGCTCATGCTATAGTCAGAGAGATGCAGATTACATCCAAACTGTATGAAGACAAAGATTTTTAGAAGAAAAATTTTAAAAACAAATACCTGGATATTTTCTTTTAAAGGAAGTCACACCCAAATATTCACTGACTTGCTCCTGAAGCATGTAGTATTCTCCTGTTTCATCCGGTGGCCACTTGTATTCTATCAAGTTTTCAGCAGGAAAATAGCTGTATCTAAGTATAAGAACAATGTTAGAACAAATCAAAGAAACCTTAAGAGGGATACTTAAGATTTCTAGAAATTCAGCAATTCCTATTTATACGTTAGTGAACAACATCTATGAAGTTGGACAAGCACTTTAGAACACTGCGTCCTGTTAACCCATTTCAAAGTCACTTTGTTACACCCCACTTCACGTATATTTCTCCAAACCAGCATTCATCAATATGCTGCGGGACAGAACATGAAGAAAGGGACATCCGTGATAGCGGACAGGACACCAGGAAAAGCAGGTACTACAGTGTCAAAATTCATTCCAAAACCAGGTAAAGTTTTAAAAACATGTAAAGCTGTGCTTCTGATTGTAAATTAGATGCAGCACATTTTATGTCATTTTAAAATAAAATGTCTTAAAATATGCTGGGAGAAAAAGACAGCTAGCTGCTCATAGGACACTGCCTCAATTCAGAAAGATATATGAAGAATATACAAGCAAAGAAAGAAGAGCTGATACGTAAGCATATCAAACAGTACAGTAAGACTAGCAATAAAGAAGTGGGAATTGTAAAAAAATGGTGGTACCCAAGGTCTTGACTAGAAGTTTCACAGCTCCGAGAACTGTCCCCTGAGCCCATACGTCGTCTTTTGGATGGCTGGCTGCCGTCATTGGAATTTTCTTCTGTGTCATCCTGAAATGAAAATAAAGATAAATATTAAAAAAATTACGAGCATTCAGCAGATAATGTAAAACATCCAAAAAAAAAAATTGCAAGGCAATCCACAGTTTAAATATACCTGAACTACTGAGCTATTTAAATAACACCCTTTACAAATTATAGCAAATTATTCCTTGCTATAAACTAGCTGCATGACACACAGTGGCGCAGAAGGAGAACTGGGCAGTTTTTTCACCTGTTGCATAGGCAGACCACTGAATAGACAGAGCTGTGGCTCTGACCACCAAGTTCATCGGTCTTGATGTAAACTACCTATGGCATCAGGATGGCCAGACAGCTGTAGACCCAGCAAACTTCCCTCACTGGTGACAGTCAGGGACAAGACTTAATTCACTTAATCAGGCTAGCTCGCAAAAGCAAGGGCAGTGCAAAAACACCAAGCCCTTGCTGAGAGCTGATGCTTATAAAATCAAGGAAAATATTACCAAATGCAACACAGGAGTTTACAGACGTACAGTTAAAATAAAAGGAACGGTATCCCGTTTACAAAGAGATACCATTACAGCAAGTAGCAAAGACTTGTCTTTTGTGGGGAAAAAAAATAAATAAAAGGAAATAAACTGAAGTTGTATTGCAAGAGATACAGAAGAGAACAAAGCTGTTACAAGGGAACATTTAGAAGTTAACTTACAGGTGTCACTACTCAGATTTTATGAGACCTATATAAAGAAAGGGAATAAAGGGCAAAGAAGAGAAAAACAAAACAAAACAGTTCCATAAAACCTAGCAGGCCAATGATTCAGTTGGTCTTCTCGTGTTTGTCACTGCTTTGCTGTCCAGTAATGCTATACAACTCCTACCTACCTCATCCACAACTCTCAAAGCACACAGTGACCACCCTTCCATGGTTATAAATGAGAAACAGAAGGCAGAAGTGCTCCAGTGAATCGCCTATTGTCACCAGCAGCAGAGCCAAGAACGAGACAGGTCTTTAGGTAATTGAAACTCGAAAGTGGAGTAGTAGGAAAGAATCACGTTTCATAACTTTTGTGAAAAGTTTTAAGGAAGAACTAACCTGTCAGAAATAAATGGATCAAGCCTAATTATACATACTGATTAAATAATGACAAGAACAATTATTAGGTCTACCTTAGCTAATGTCTTTCATTCTAGTACGTTTTACACACCATCCCAGCAAATCAGAATACATTACTTCTGTTATGTAACATTTCACAGTACGATAATCAAGACAGGCCACCACAGGGAAAAAGCACTTGTCTGCTATATTTTTGGTTTATTTCAAGTTTTTCACAACTCTTTACAAATTCTTTTTTCTTTCTTGTGGCGTAGCAAGAAGAATATTTTTCATACACTAACAAAAGCTGGAAGGCAACTTTAATGAAACTGTGCTTTCTTAATGCAGCTATATTTAAAGAATCAGTAAGCAGCACCTCCACTAGTATCACCAGCAATACCATTTCCTAGTATGACTGAGAATTCCCCATATAAACTCGATCAGACAAACCAAGTGGCTGTCCCCAATCAAAACAATATCGCGCTCGCATATTCTGTGACACAGCTACGTCTCATCAGCAGTTCATCCCTGCTTCCCACATGGAACGTTAACGCGCTCCAAACCTTTTCAACTGCTAAACAAAAACATGAACGAGGCCAAAGCCATGCTTTGCTGTACCAAAGCTACCGAGAGACTTTGAAACATTTTTAGAAGATAGATCTCAACCGGACAGTGAAGAGGAAGTGCCTCGCGTCGGTTTTTCCTTTTGCTTCGAAATTTTCTTTTATTAAACCCAGTACTGTTAAAAAATGTGAGCACCCATACCACAGGAGAGATGAACGTCCTCCATTTCCACCCTTGTTTTCTCACTTGCTGAAAACTTCAGCAAATCCGATCACGCAGGCTCACAGACTAAAACACGCGAGGAAACGAGGCTGTTTGTTGCAGAGGACTTTGCGGAAAAAGTGAAAACACTGGCACTGCAATCTAAGAGAGGCGGTAGTTCAACCGCTGCTACTGCGCCAAAAATAATGGTTAGGGACAGTCTTGCGGCTTTCTTTACGTGGAAAGTCAAACACTGCCAAGAAAAAGCCCCTTCTTCCCTTGGAAATGCACGTTTCTGCAAAACGCCCGTTAGTCCTTAGGAAACGAGGTTAAATTACGAATTCCCGGTCCGGTCTATCAACTCCCGAGATCTACGTAACGACCCCTCGTTACGCCATCGGAAAGCCCGAATTACCCACCCTGCCGTCTTTCTAAAACCTCACCGCCGATGGGGCGGCGGGGGGCTGTGTGGGAGGGAAAGGGCAGCAGGCGCCGGGTGCCAGCCCGTCCCCGGGCAGCGCGGGCACAGCTCGGCAGGCCTACGCGGAAGAACCTGCCCACAGACCCAAACTTCGCGGGGCGGGACGCGGGGCCGCTGCCCCGGTACGGAACGGGCCGCCCCGCCGCGCTCGGGA